GCTATGAACTTTCCTCTTAGCACTGCTTTCATTGTGTCCCACAAGTTAGGGTATGTTGTGTCTTCATTTTCATTGAGTTCTAGAAAGGCTTTAATTTCTTTCTTTATTTCTTCCCTGACCCAGCTGTCATTTAGTAACAAGTTGTTCAGTTTCCATGTGTGTGTAGGCTTTTTGCTATTTCTTTTGTTGTTGAAGTCCAGCTTTATTCCATGGTGATCAGACAGGATACAAGGGATTATTTCTGTCTTCTTGTATCTGTTGAGGCTTGCTTTGTGACCAACTATATGATCTATTTTGGAGAAGGTTCCATGAGGTGCTGAGAAGAAGGTAAATTCTTTTGTGTTTGGGTGTAAAGTTCTGTAGATGTCTGTGCGGTCCATTTGATTCATGACCTCTGTCAGAGATATTGTTTCTTTGTTTAATTTCTGTTTTGTTGACCTGTCCTTTGTTGAGAGTGGGGTGTTGAAGTATCCCACTATTAATGTGTGGGGATCTATATGTGGTTTAAATTTTATCAATGTTTCTTTTACAAATGTGGGTGCTCTTGTATTTGGGGCATAGATGTTCAGGATTGTGATGTCTTCCTGGTGGAATTTTCCCTTGATGAGTATGAAGTGTCCTTCCTCATCTCTTTTTATTTATTTTGGTTGAAAGTTATTTTATCAGATATTAGAATGGCTACTCCTGCTTGTTTCTTGGGTCCATTTGCTTGGAAAGTCGTCTTCCAACCTTTTACCCTCAGGTAATGTCTATCTTTGTGTCTTAGGTGTGTTTCTTGTATGCAACAGATTGCTGGGTTTTGTTTACGTATCCATTCTGTTAATCTGTGTCTTTTTACTGGAGAGTTGAGTCCATTGATGTTGAGAGAGATTAATGACCAGTGGCTGGTAGATCCTTTGATTTTGATGTTGGCTGTGTTCATAAGTTTGTGTGCTTGGCTGCTTTTTGTTTTGCTGTAGTAAGGTTAATTATTTCCTGTGTTTTCTTGACAGAAGCTAATTTTCTTGGGTTGTATTTTCCCTTCCAGTGTCTTCTGTAATGCTGGATTTGTGTGTAGGTATTGTTGAAATTTGTTTTTGTCATTGAATATCTTGTTTTCTCCGTCTATGAGGACTGAGAGTTTTGCAGGGTATAGTAGCCTGGGTTGACATCTGTGTTCTCTTAGGGTCTGCATGATATCTGTCCAGGCTCTTCTGGCTTTCATAGTTTCTGTTGAAAAGTCAGGTGTGATTCTAATGGGTTTGCCGTTATATGTTACTTGGCCTTTTTCCCTTGCAGCTTTTAGTGTTTTTTCTTTGTTCTGTATACTTACTGTTTTGATTATTATGTGGCGGGAGGATTTTCTTTTCTGGTCAAATTTGTTGGGTGTTCTGTAGGCCTCATGTATCCTTATTGGCTTCTCCTTTAACTTGGGGAAATTTTCTTCAATGATTTTGTTGAAAATATTTTCTGGGCCTTGGAGAAGGGAGTCTTCTTTTTCCTCTATTCCTATTATTCTTAGATTTTGTCTTTTCATATTGTCTTGGATTTCTTGGACGGTCTGTGTCAGGAATTTTTTGGATTTAACATTTTCTTTGACAGATAGATCGATTTCTTCCATTGTATCTTCTACACCTGAGATTCTTTCTTCCATTTCTTGTATTCTGTTGGTTATGCTTACCTCTGTAGTTCCTGTTTTTTTCCCTAAATTTTTCCTCTCCATTATTTCCTCCATTTGTGTTTTCTTTAATTTTTCTAGTTCTATCTTCAGGTCTTGAGTTGTTTTGTTTACTTCCTTCACCTGTCTGCTTGTATTTTCTTCTTTTTCTTTTAGTTCCTTCAACTCTGTCTCTTTGATTTCTTTCAGTGATTTAATTATTTCTTCTCTGAAGGCCACAAGCTGTTTGGCTGCATCTTCCCGTATTTCTTCACGGATGGCCCTAATTTGCTTGTCTTTATCTTCCTCCATTTCTTTACGGATAGCCATGATCTGTTTGGTTTTATCTTCCTCTAATTCTTTACGTATTTTATCTGTTTCCTCTATTATTCTCTTCATCAACATAGATGTAAGGTCATCTTCTTGATTTTCTATTATGCTGCATTGTTCAGGGCTGTTCGCCCCTGGATGGCTGGGTTCTGGAGATGCCATATTGCTCTGTCTTTTGTTGGTTGAGCCTTTACGCTGACCTCTACCCATTGGGCTGATTTAGGTGTTGGCTGTTAGTTTCTGTGCTTCCTGGAGTCCTGAGGTAGGGAGTATCCCCTTGGCCGAAAGATGATTTTTCCTGAAGGAGTCCTTCTCTGCTTTTTGGTTATGGTCACTGTATGGCCAGTGTTTCTCCGGAGTTGCCACTGCTCACCTCAGGTTTATAGCCCTGAGTAGTAGCTGTGGTCTATGTTAGGCAGGGGGGGATCTCCTCTTACCCATAAAATTTCTCAAGACAGCTGCCCCACTGCTGGGTTTCTTGTTATAAATTTAGTGTGCTGCTGCTCACTAAATTTCCATGTACAGTCCTCTTGAAGAAACTGCTGATTCCCTAGCTGTGGGGTTTTCCCCCAACAGGGAAACTCAGTCTGTTATCCTGGGGCGCACAGTTCTGTCCGGGAAAGTGGGAGGTGCACTCAGCAAGTCTCTGGGCCAAAGGCTGATTGCTCTGCTCTGGACCTGGATAATGTGCACCTAGGTTGAGTTGGCGCCTGGGGGCACTGCTCTGGTCTGGAGGCTGGGTGCCTCACTCTGGACAAGAAGCTGTGTGTCTCTGTCTGGGATGGCGGCAGTAGGCACCGCTCTGGTCCAGACGCTGTGGGTGCAGCCACCCTGAAGGATCAGGGATTCCTACAGTTTTGGCAGTCCAGCCAGGGACAACTGGCCGATCCCTGGCACAGTATCTGAGGGCTGCTGTAATGGCTCTTCGGCTTCTGCAGGTTCGAGGATGCAGCTGTGTGTCCCAGTGCCCCAGGGGAATGCAACAATGGCAGCAGAGCACAGCGCTTCTGCCTGTACTAGAGTCTGCGTGAGTCCAGGAAGTGTTTTGGTGCTGGGTGTCCTAAGCGTTAGAGCTGCTGACCCCCTCTGCTGGGGGTTTCCTCCTGCCAGAGACACGCAGTCTGGTGCCCTGGTGCCCTGGTGCCCACAGTTCTATCTGAGGCAGCGAATCACGCGCGCAGGCATGGCTCTGTGCAGGCGCCTTTGTCCTGGCTCTGGGTCCAGGCTGTCTCCTGGGGCACCCGCGGAACCCAAGTCTTTTCCAGGGGATGTCTGGGTAACCTGGGCTCGGTCCCAATTGTTTCCTGCTCCGTGGGGTTATCTCTCGACTGGGAAATCCAGTCTATGGTGTTGTGGGCCCACAGTTCAGTCTGGGACCATGACCAGATCGCGCTGGCGGGTAGCTCTGGGCTGGCGACTAAGCGCCTGGCAGAGCCGGGATATCTTCCGCGGTTTAGCAGGGTGAGTTAAAGCTGATTGAATCCCCCACCGAGGGGTATCCTCTCACCTGAGAAACACAACCACTTGTGTTTTATGGCCGCGAGTTCTGATTGCTGGTCACTGTGCCAATCCTGCTGTGCTGCTCCTCAGAATGAGAGTCCTCCCGGCGCTGCCATCTTGCCCCGCCTTCTTTTGTTTTTTAAATTTTTTTATATTAATCACAGATTATTTACTTTTTATCGCAGCCATAGCCCCCTCCCTCATATCCTCCGAGTCTCACCCTCCTTCACTCATCTCCTCCCTGCACCTTTCCGAGTCCACTGATTGGGGAGGACCTTCTTCCCTTCCATCTGATCCTAGCTTATCAGGTCTCTTCAGGACTGACTGCAATGTCCTCTTTTGTAGCCTGACAAGGCTGCTCCTCCCTCCGCGGGGGGAAGGGGAGAGGGTCGAAGAGCTCGCCATTGAGTTCATGTCAGAAATAGTCCCTGATCCCCTTACTAGAGAACCCACTTGGATACTGAGCTACCATGGGCTATATCTGGGCAGGGGTTCTAGGTTTTATCCATACATGGTCCTTGGTTGGAGAAACAGTCTCATGAAAGACCCCTGTGCCCTGATATATTTGGTCCTTGTGGAGCTCCTGTCCTGCCCAGGTCTTACGTGTCTTAGCATCTGCTTTGATACGCTGTTAGGTAGAGTCTTTCAGAGGCCCTCTGTGGTAGGCTCCTGTCCTATTACTTGTTTTCTCCTACCTCCAATGTCCATCCCATTTGTCTTTCTCAGTGAGGATTGATCATCTTACCCCGGGTACTCTTTCTTGTTTGTCTTCTTTAGGTGTATAGATTTCAGTATATTTATCTTATAGGTCTATATGAGTGAGTATATACCATATGTGTCTTTCTGCTTTTGGGATACCTCACTCAGGATGATCACTTGTAGGTCCCACCATTTGTTTGCAAATTTCATGATTTCCTTGTTTTTAATTGCTGAGTAGTATTCCATTGTGTAAAAGTACCACATCCATTCCTCAACTGAGGGACATCTGGGTTGTTTCCAGCTTCTGGCTATTACAAATAAAGCTGCTATAAACATAGTTGAGCAAATGTCCTTGCTACATCATCTACATTTTATACCTTTTGTTTTTCTTGGGTTTATGTGCATAAATCTTTTTGACTATACACTCTTATTTCAGTCTATAAAAATAGACAAACATGCACAGAGAGAGAATGAGAGAGAGATTTTGTATTTCTTTCATCTACCCCTCTTCCCTTATTGCCATGTCTTCTGATTTTCTTTTCTGCTCTTTCCTTTCTGTGCTTTCTTGTTTAGTTACTAGGTTCATCTTTCACTGTGAGTTACCTGAACCTTTATGGTATAGTCAAGAGCTTTCCATTTTTTTATTTGTTATCTGTGCCATGATTCCATCTGTTAACTACAATGATGACAGGTTTATATTCAACATGCATGTAGAATATGTGTGCCTCCAACATATATGTAAACATCATACTTCAATACATCTTGAAAAACTGAACACAAAATTTCTTCACAAATTAAAAAAAAGAATCTATTCTACATTTTCACCTTTGTTTTCTAGAACCCTATATAATGTGACCATCCACATATCTTACCAGGTATACTGAGCTCTGCTTTTTGGTGATATACAGCTGTGTTTGAAACTTACTCAGGATGAAAGCAAATTACTTTTCTTTCATTGGGACTAGTAGATAACCCACTTTCTCTGATTCTCATAGCTGTCATTTCATTTCATTTTTAGCTTGTGTTCTGTCTGCCATCATGACATATTAAAATCTTTCAAACCTTCTCTAGAGATTCCCTCAGCAATATTATCTCACTGCCCTTATCTCCTGCTTGTAAACCTTGGGAGTGAGTCATGCACCTGCCTTTTTCTCAAGCCACGTTTCAGCAGATTCCTTTGATGAAACTGCTGATACTAATTGGAGGTACTGGTTTCTTCACAAATGGGTCCATTCACCTGAAACCCATCCTAATTCACACTTGATTCTAACCTTTGAAAAGACTTTTTCTATTGAACTCCTAAGATATTTTCATGGAGGAAAATGTTAGATGGAAAAATGTCATCATGGAGGAAAATTCCTTAACTCCTTGAGATTGAAATTTTTCTTTGCCCCACACTTGCATTTCATTATTCTTCACTTTCCCCCTCCAGTTAAGCATGTGATTTCTAGTGGTCATTCTATGTGTTCCTTCCTCACACTTTGTTCCATTAGTGATCCCCTTTTATGTTATCTGCAAGTCACCCTTCTCTATTAGTTCTCACTCACTACTGCTTAGTTACGATCAAATTGTTTCCATTCCATTTTTACACTTTGAATGCACATTGCTTTTTAATTAGAATAAAATTATATTATCACCCCACTCCTTTTCTGTCTTCCAACCTCTCCCACATCTTGTCCCCCCAAGCCCTCTTGTATTGTTCCCTCCCTTCAGTCCCTTATAGTTCCACACTTAGTCACCCTCACATTAATTGCTGCCTTTTCTTTATAATTGTTACATTGTAATTGAGGAAGAAAGGAGTCTTTTAAATTCCATAAAATGTTTAAATATTTTTTATTTGAGTGCTTTGCATATACACCATGAGCATGCCGATGCCTGCCAAAGCCAGAGTTCTCAGATCCCATGGAGCTGGAGGTATAAATGGCTGGGAGCTGTCATTTCATCTTGTGAGAGAAAAGATGTAAAGAATTGTCAATCATAATTACAGAAGAAACAGATAAGGAACCACTGAAATAGTCAACAGATGCATTAAAACAGAACTTTTAAAAACTATTTGGATGACAAACTAGTAGACATTAGCTGGAAAGATTGGGAGAAGAAGAATTCAAAATGAGTGAGTGTTATATACTCAGCTATAAATGGGCACTCCAAGGGCCACAGAACATTACAGAAGAATAAGAGACAAGGTGGAGGGTTTGTGACTACTGAATTTAGCATATGAAGTGCCCATTGTAATGATGAACTCATGGAAGCTCTGAGTAGCTGCACACAAATTATCCAAGATAACATCTGTCTACAGCCTAACATGGAAAGGAAATTTAGCTCAAAAGTTCCCATGTATTCCAGTAGATAGACATGTAGCTACATATTGCAGAGAGGGGCGAGAAAGAGAGTATGTTCAGCAGTAGAGTCCCTGTCAAGGTGCCTATGCTTCTGCAAACAAACCTCTGCCTAACATTCAAGTAAACAATTCTAACAAAACCCATTGATTCAATAAAAAAAGAGAACCATGAATGTAGAAAAGGGATCCAGTCGGGAAGAGGAAGCCAATCAGAGTGTGAGGCAGAGAGAAAGAGTAAAGAGATGAAATTGATTGTAATACACCATATACATGTATTAAAATGTCACAAATCCATTAAACACAACGTACTTTTATATTTTTTTTAAAAAAAGGAAGGAACATGTTGGGTTGAAGCACAGTTTTAGTACATCTTCCCATTTTACAGAGAGTGAAGAAACTAAGCCACAGAAACTAAGCCAAATATCTTTTCATTAGAGTAATAGGCTAAAACCTTCAGTTTATTAATGTTACTGCAAGAATATTTTAAGAGAGTATGTTAACTATCACCCAAGGTGGTCAAATATGGTTCAGTATCACCTGCTTAGTTCTACCAATCAACTAACAAGTATAAATACACAGAATCTATAACCATGTAAAAAACAAAAAAAGTAAAAACCTGTGATCCAAAGGGCTTCAAAATCTAATGGGTAAATGACTACATAGTAACTAAAGAAATCCTTATGAGCCCATGTTTACTTAGTTGTCTTGTGGCTGTGAAAAAAAGTGTCAAACACAAACAACTTAAAAGTAGGAAAGGTGTATTTTTAACTCCAGATTTCATAGTGCTCCCTCGATGGATGCTGATCTCCATTGGCTCTGAGCACATAGGCAGGCAGAAAACTGGGTGTATGCATAGGAAGTCTGCTTACCTGATGGTGAGGACAAAATAGAGTGAAGCTAGGAAGGACCTAGGATGAGATACACCTTTCAGAAACCAAGTAGTGTGTCTCTATCTCTCATTTCTAGAAACTTTCCAAATAATATCACCAGGGAATTAAGCATTTAATACAGGACACTTTAGGAAGATATTTCATAACATACTATAACAGTCTATTATAGAAACTCAAAGGTCTAAAATAGGAAATTATTTAATCAAAGTCATAGTGCACTTGTAGTTTAAAGTTTGCTAAAGAAAAGACCCTAGAACTACACTCAGATGGTGGACAATCTAGGGCAATGCAAGTACTTTTATTCTGGGGACAAAAGTCAGAGGAATAGGAAAATGTGTGCATGTGTATTATGTGTAAATGTGTATGTTCATACGTGTATACATGTATTCATGTGCATATAATCACACTGTTTCATTCATAATGTGTGTCTCTTCTAGTATTCTCACACATTTTCTTTTATTCTGCTATTGCTATTTAGAATATGACTATGAATTGATTTCATGACTACACTCAATGTAAAGAGAAAAGCTTGGTGGTAGTAGAAACTGCACATTAATTGTACATCTAATTTTGAACTCAATTCAGTAAAATATTTTCTTATCTTTCAATAGACTTGTGCACAGACGAACATATAGTGGAAACCTGTGAGGGAAGGATAATACCTCACAGATCAATATGTATCCATCTCTTCTTCGTTGGGCAGTGTCTCCATGGAATCAGTGGGATGCCACTTTATATCCTTGGTGTAACTTTCATTTTTGACCATGTTCCCTCATGTTCAGTTGGCTTCTATTTAGGCAAGTTTTGTTTTTTAATACGCATAGACTATTGACTGTTGATGAGAGTTCTGTACGGTATAACTGATACAGAAGTGCTGTTGTCCCGGTGACGGCAGTGTACCACGTAGTGATGACTTGTTTGCATAACTTCAAAATCACCCTAATCTAACTATGAGATTTGGAACACCAGGTAAATAATTTAAATGTCACTAAAAAGATTTAGACAAATAATGTAGCATATGTATGTTTTAATAAGCAAAATTTTCTCTCTTTTTTTCTGAGAGTTGGGATATGGAAGGAGAGGGAGAGGGTACAGAGAGAAGTATGGAGGGGGAGTGGAGATAGCTGATCACAGTATTTTGCCTACTTACAATATCTCATGTAAATTATGTTTTACATTAAGTGAGCATTGACCCTCACTAATAATCTATCTGATAACCAGTAATGAATTCTGCTCCTGTTAGGTCAGAATGAAGAAATATTTTCACAGAGATATTACATATCATTTTTAAAAATAAAAAATTTATTTTGTACTTGCCTTGAAAATATTTCTAGTGACATAATAAAGAAAATACAGTTTATGCTCATATTGAATATGAATATAATTATGCTACATTATATGTATGGATTAAAAATATATAACTAAATTCATAATTAAATGATCTTAGTATTAATACATGACTAGATAAGAGAATAGGCCATCCAGTTGTACTGTCAGGCAGAAGTCTACATGGTTGTCTGACATTGTCTGAGGTCTGATTAACACTTATAATCGGCCCACACTAGGTAAAGCAGATGACCTAATAAGCCCAGATTTCATTCAAGCAATGTAGAGTCCTAACAGGACAGACTGTTTTCAAAGAAGCGGTGCCTGTGGCTCAGGACTAGCATTAACTATGAGACTATCACCAACTCTTGCATAAATTTCCTGCCAGATTTTTGCTCAATTTGAGATTTGTTGTTAGAATTAATTCCAGCAAATATTTTCTCGCTACCCTTCTTTTACTCCCACTCCCATTTCTTCCTCTCTTTCCCTACCTATCTTACTTTTATCACATAATAAAAAAATAGCACAAAAACTTTCAAACATCACAAGTAATTCAGTTATATTTTGTATGACTAAGTTATATTGTAAAACTGTTTGGGGCTGTGTTTATTTTCAAGCTATTGTGGATCTTCCAAGATTTGTGGGCTACACTTTGGGTTACACAATAGGATTCCATGGTCTTCTGTCTCCTGAGACTGTAACTGTAAATGCACAGTAAGTCACATTCTTTACTTTTCTATTTAGATTATGTTGTATAGAATACTTCTTGAATAGATAGCATAAATCATAAATAACACATAGAAATGTATGCAGCTGTGGGTGATGTGTACATATATGTAAACATATGTACATTTACAGTGTGAATTTGTATTTTTACTGTTTGAAATACATACAAAACCATTACTTGAAACTTCATTAACTTTTTAAAATATTTTGTTGTTAAAACATTCATTATTCATTCAATACAATACAATAGTAATGATACATGATATACAAAAGTTTTCATCTTATTTATTATTTAACTAAAAGATTTTTCATATGATATATTTTGATCATCTTCTTCCCTTATACCAAAATCATCCCAGATACCTCCCTACCCACATGACCTTGTCTTTTTTCTCATTCATTAAAAACAAAACTCAATTCCCATTCCAAAAGGCAAAGAGGATGGACATCAGAAGAAGAAGAAAACAGGAAACAACCTAGGAACCTGCCACAGAGGGCCTCTGAAAGGCTCTGCCCTGCAGACTATCAAAGTAGACACTGAGATTTATGGCCAACTGTTGGGCAGAGTGCATGGAATCTTATGTAAAAAGTGGGAAATAGTAAGATCTGGAGAGGACAGGAACCCCACAAGGAGAGCAACAGAACCAGAAAATTTGAACACGGGTCTTCCCAGAGACTCATACTCCAACCAAGTACCATGCATGGAGATACTTAGAACCCCTGCACAGATGTAGCCCATGGCAGTTTAGTGTCCAAGTGGGTTCCATAGTAATGGGAAGAGGGACTGCCTCTGACATAATCTGATTGGCCTGTTCTTTGATCACCTCCCCCTGAGGGGGGAGCAGCCTTACCAGGTCACAGAAGATGACAGTGCAGCCACTCTTGATGAGATCTGGTAGACTAAGATCAGAAGGAAGGAGAGGAAGACCTCCTCTATCAGTGGACTTGGGGAGGAGCATGCATGAAGAAGGGGGAGGGAGGTTGGGACCTGGAGGAGAGGAGGGAGGGGCTTATGGGGGATACAAAGTGAATAAAGTGTAATTAATAAAATAAAATTAAATTAAATTAAAAAAAACAAAAATGAAAACACACCAACAAAATGAAAATCAAAACAGGCAATATACCAAAAAAATATAAATGATGAAATAAAACAAAACAAAACATTGAGTTCATTTTTTATCAGGGAACTATTCCTGGGCAGAGAGCTCCATTCAAACATTGTTATATACAGTGACATTTCTGTTGTAGAGAACATATATTCTCTTTGCAAATAGACATTCTTAGGAAATCCCTTCATGGTTGGGATCGGGGTACTATGTCTATTTCCCCATCTCAGTGCTGGGATCCCAACTTTGTCTGCTGTAGGTCTTCTGTGTATTACCACAGTCTCTGTGTGTTCATATGTACACCTAACATATTGTGTCTGGAAGATACTATGTCCTAGAGTCATTCATCTCTTCTAGTTCTTACAACCTCCTCTTCCACACAGATCCCAGAGTCTTGAGGCAAAAAGTTTGCTGAAGACATGCCACTAAGGATTGAGTGCTCCAATCTCTCTCTCTCTCTCTCTCTATCTCTCTCTCCACATTCTCCCATTGTGAGTCTCTGTGTTAAGTAACCTCTACTGCATGAAGAAGCTTTTCTGATGTGGGTTGAATGAGGCACAGTTGTACAGATATGCAAGAATGCTATTTGGAACTATTTTCTTGCTATAGATTTTCATCAGAATAATACTATTAGGTTTTTTCCAGGCCCATGACTTATCTAGCCTCAGGTTCTGACCAATTTAGCAGTGCCAATTACAGATTATATCTTTTAGAATGGATTTTAAGTCCAATCAAAAAATACTTGGCGTGTTTGGGGATTTTGTGGCATGACTTTGTGGTAAATGATTCAACAAGATTTAAAAAATTTTGCTTTTTTACTTGCGCTCCCAAGCTTTTGATATGTTCTACAATACAAATAACCCAGAAGTTAGATACCTGGGGCCAGGAAGAAGGGGATCTTGCACAGAAGGAAAAATACAACATAATGTTATGAAGATTTAAGAAAGAAACTTGAATGAGAGAGCTAAAGAAGGAAGAAAATAGTGGAGAGAAAGGAAGAAATATAGGGAGAAACATTTAACACTAAAGGTCATTTGAAATCACATATAGAAACCTACTACTGTAAAAGATTACTAAAATATACTTATATAAAAGAAATTCAAATGGTGTCTCCAAATAATTGAGACAATGCCTAAATAAGATATCTCATTCCATCACATCCCAAATTTTTTAAATCTTGTTGAGTCATTTACCACAAAGTCATGCCACAAAATCCCCAAACACTCCAAGCTATTGTAAGGTATTGGTTGCTATTCACAACTTGATAATTAGGCCCAATTTCTAAAATCAACATTACGTCATTAAACACGGAAAAGTTGAAATAGAGGTTTTATTCCCTACTACCTATCAGTCATGCTTTTAGATGGTACACTGCATGCTACCAGAAGAGAAAGGTAATCTTCAATACCACCAAGCTACAAACCCTGTGACCTTCAACAGTTCCCTGCTTACATACAAGTTGTATTAGTTCAATAGTGTCACAAGTGTCCTGGAAGTAGCCAAGTATCGCTTCTCAATTCTCTGATGGGGTTGAAGACTACTAGATAGTTATAGTTTCACAGTTCGGCTTATCTTGTTTAGGATTTAAGAAAATGTTTTAAAGTCTAGAAAGATGTTTATTTAAGTTGATGAATACAAGACATGACAGAGAATGACTTAGATACAAGACTTTAGATTCACCTAGATAGGATAGATAGTATTTTCTTCAAGGTTGCAAAATACAAATGAGCTAAATATTTTGAATGTAACTTTTACATATGGCTTTCCTGGTTGTTTTATAACTGTTCTTGCTATGTGTAGCTTATTATAAATAAATAAACTCCATATGAAAGATAAGATAATAATAGATCGATAGATAAGTACAAGCTAGTAAAAAAAAAAAAACTTAACAGATAATATCCAAATATAAAAGAAACATATAGTAATTGTCTTTTGGGATCTGATTCACCTCACTGTGAATTATTATTTCTTCATTCTATCTATTTATCTGTAACTGTTGCAATTCATTTTTTTCTTTTATTTTTATTAATTACAGTTTATTCACTTTGTATTCCCCATAAGCCCCTCCCTCCTCCCCCCATCCCATCCTTCCTCCCCCTTCTTCACGAATGCCCCTCCCCAAGTCCACTGATAGGGGAGGTCTTCCTTTCCTTCCTTCTGATCTTAGTCTATCAGATCTCACCAGGAATGGCTTCATTGTCATCTTCTGTGGCCTGGTAAGGTTGCTCTCCCCTCAGGGGGAGGTGATCAAAGAATGGGCCTATCAGATTATGTCAGAGGCAGTCTCTCTTCCCATTACTATGTAACCCACTTGGACACTAAGCTGCCATGGGCTACATCTGTGCAGGGGTTCTAGGTATCTGATGTCCATCCTCTTTGCCTTTCGGAATGGGGATTGAGCATTTTAGTCAGAGTCCTCTCTCTTAATTAGTTTCTTTAGATGTACAGGTTTTAGTAGGTTTATCCTACGTTGTAATTCATTTTCAACAGATAAATCATATTCCATTTTGACTGTACCACATTTTTGTTGTACCTTCATCAGGGATGGATATCTAGGCTGTTTTCACTTTTTGGCTATGATGAGCACAATAGTCATAAGCATGGATGAACAAGTATTACAGTGGAGTCCTTTGGGTAAATGTCAAATAATGGTATAACTGGATGGTAGAGTGATGCCCAGCTTCCTGAGGGAACCTCCACCTGATTTTCATAATAACTGTATCAGTGTACACTCCAATCAGCATGTGCTGTCATTTATTTTATTGATCTAAGTTTTTTCAAAATTCAGGAAAGATAAAAAATTTTAAGTAAAAAAAGCTAAAGTTGTGGGAATGTATCATAAGCAAATGTTCCATACAAGAAACAGTAAAGTGGGTTACTCAAACTGATGTTAGGCACAAATAAATAAAAAATGTAAAATTCTTAGCTAAAAGTAGTTTTCTAAATCTGAAGCGCCATAATATAATTTAACAATATAAATCATATGCACAAAACATTAATATCCTTAGAAGAAATGCTATAATGGAAATCAATAAATTCATTACTATCTCAAATTTAGAAAATTTAAATTTTTAAATTTACAAATATGTTACTAGTACAAAAATTAAAAATGCTTCATGGCAAGGTTTGATGATGAGTTGTCGCTTTTTGAATATGAAAAATTAGTAATAAAACAAATGTAGGTGGAGGAAGGGCATCAGAAAATGAGAGAAGAAACTGCATATCTGGTATCGCTGGAGTCCCTGCTTATGCTTCTGCTTGGAATGTTTTTCTTCGGTTTCTCTCTGCTAGATTCAAATGATCAGGTCTTATATTAAGACCTCTGATTTTAACTGGTTGTTTTGAGTGAGAGAGAAGGACATAGTTTCATTCTTCTTCAAATGGACATCTGACTTACACAGAACCAGTTATTTATTTTTTATTAATTACAGTTTATTCACTTTGTATCCCAGCTGTAGCCCCTTCCCTCATGTCCTCCCCTTTTCTCCACCCATGCCCTCCCCCAGTCTACTGATAGGGGAGGTTCTCCTCTCCTTCCATCTGATCCTAGTCTATCAGGTCTCATCAGGACTGGCTTCATTGTCTTCCTCTGTGTCCTGGTAAGGCTGCACTCCCCTCAGGGTGAGGCGATCAAAGAGCAGGCCAATCAGATTATGTCAGAGACAGTCCCTCTTCCCATTTCTATGGAACCCACTTGGACACTGAACTGCCATGGGCTACATCTGTGCAGGGGTTCTAGGTTCTCTCCACGCATGGTCCTTGGTTGGAGTATCAGTCTCAAAAACACCCCTATGTCCACATTTTTTTTGGTTCTTTTGCACTCCTTGTGGAGTTCCTGTCTCCTCCAGGTATTTCTATCTCCCCTTTCTTTCATAAGATTCCCTGCACTCTGCCCAGAGTTTGGTTATGAGTCTTAGCCTCTGCTGGGTAGAGTTTTTCAGAGGCCTTCTGTGGTAGGCTCCTGTCTTGTTCCCTCTTTTCTCCTTCTTCTGATGTCTATCTTGTTTGCCTTTCTGAGTGAGGATTGATCATCTTACCCAGGGTCCTCTTCCTTGATTCGTTTATTTAGGTGTACAGATTTTAGTAAGATTATCCTATATTATATGTCTAATATCCACTTATAAATGTGTATATGCCTTGTGTGCCTTTCTGCTTCTAGGATACTTCACTCAGAATTGTCTTTTCCAGTTCCCACAATGTGCCTTCAAATTTCATGATTTCCTTGTTTTTCATTGCTGAGTAGAATTCCATTGTGTATATGTACCACAATTCCAAAATATGCTCAAGTATACAAGAAGGACATTTGCTCAATCATGTTCATAGCAGCTTTTATTTGTAATAGCCAGAAGCTGGAAACCCAGATGTCCCTCAGTTGAGGACCTGATACAGAACTAGTTTTTAAAGAAGGTGTCTTTTCTTCAGCATGTGATTTTCTCCCTTTGTTCAAAATTAGATGTCTGTCATGGTTGTTTTTGTGTCGTCATCTTTATTCCATTCCTTTAGATGTTTATTTTTGTGCCAGGACCATAGTTCTGAGCACTATGAATCTGTAGCACACTTCACAATCTAGTATGGTGATTTCTCCAGCATAGCTTTTCCTCAGACACTCTTTAGCTATTTATGGTCTTTGTCTCCATCTAAATTTTAGGATATTTCTTCTAGTTATGTGAAGAATACCATTCTCATTTGAGAAATATTGAATTGCATTTATAGAACACTTTCAGTAATATATCCATTTTCACAATATTAATTGTACTAACTCATCAACACAGAAGACCTTCCATCTTTTCATTTATCTTTTAATTTTTGTTCGTTTTTTCTTCATTTCTTGATAGTTTTCCATCTTTTAGTGTTTTGTATACTTGACCACAGTATTCTTTTACCTTCATTACATTTTCCCTGGGTAATTTTTGTTCTGGTGTTAAGTGCTAATGTGCTTGTTATTCTGATTTTTTTCTGAGTATGCTTATTATTTGTTCTAATATCTGATCTTTATACACCAATTTTTCTGTTCTGCTACTCTGCCATAAGTGTTTATAATAATAATCTCTTAAGGGCATTCAGAGTGAGTTTTTAGGGTGTTTTAACTATAGGATCTTATCACTTTTAAATAGATTTGTTTTTCTCCTTCCTATGGATGATTTCTGTTTGTTTTCCTCACCCAGATGTGTGGGTTAAGACTGTAAAAGCTCTCTTGGGTATGGATCCAGAGAGTAGACACTCCTTTGACATTTGGATTATGCTTGTTTAGCATAGTGCTGGCTGCTGCCGTGGCTTTAGTCTGCTTTTTTATTCAAGTGTACATGAACCTTCTAATACTACTTTCTTTGGGGGTTTTATTATGAAGAGGGGTTCAGGGTTTACCATGACATTTTTTTTAATAACCATTGAGATGATTATGTGATTTTTTTATTTTTACTCTATTTTACTTACTTTTTAACAGTTATTGACAAGGAATTTTATAATTAAATATTCTCAAAGTTATAGTTTTTTCTTCTTTTTTAGTCCTTCTACCCCATGACCCAGTTTCTTTTATTTCTGTGTTAAACTCTCATTTTTAAAATTTGAAATTTCATTGTTCATTTTATTAATCATTTACAATCACAATTGTCACAATTGTACACACACATACACATACACTCACACTTCAACATTCAAGAGATGGGCCAGCAGTAATGAGCATTTGTTCTTTCAATGGACCTGGGTAGGGCTCCTAGCCCTCACTTGATGGCTCACAAGCACTTGTAAGTACAAGTCCAGGGTGTCCAACAGCTTCTTCTGAACTCTGTGTATGGTGCACTACATACATGCAGTTGAAACACAAACATATATAAAATATGATAAAAGAGATTAAAATAAGAATTATTAAACATAAATAAGTATTGGTAAATTTGGCATTCTGATAACAATCAAAGCACTTAGAATTCAACTAAATTCATGTATCAAATTAGGAAGCCTAATTAACCCTTTCATGAAAGAAAACGCTGTTATTTTCTCTAGTATTTATAATGTTGCTCAAAGAAGTTTTATTATAGTTGCTATTGAATTTGTATTAGAAAACTAGTGCATGGGGCTTTTAAACAGATTGCTAAGTATTGTGTAGTCAAATCATAACAGTTTGTAGTTTTCAAAGCACTTTTTTCTAGCATAAGGAAAATACTTTGATTTCAAAATTTATCTGGCAAATATAAAATAATTGTGTCATATGTGATGTGTTATTAAAACTATACAAGTTAATTCAAAGTACTAAGAAACATGAAATTTGCAGATATCACAAGCAACAGGAGGCCAATGGCAGTGGTGATCTATGTATGCTCAAGGTTTGGGGGGATTAAGATGTGGTTGTGTAGCTTAGAGTGACCTTGAAATCATTCAAAGGAAAGGTAGGCTGTTTTTAATTATAGAGTTCTTGCTTAGCGTGCTGGAGCTCCTAGGTTCAATCCTCAGTACCACAATAAATAAACAGTCAATGGATAATAACAGGAAAGAAACATGTAGCTCCTATGGATGTTATATATTAACACATGACAAACGGATTGTGGAGATGAAGATTGGGGTCCTATGTCATTTCAGGTAAACCTATATTCCTGAAAAACACCCCCAAAAGATAAGGAGTTGCCTCACCAGTGAATAACACTGTGAATGTTTCCACATTTCATGAAAGAGAAAATCTAATGACCTCATCAACTACTGTAACAAAAGAGCTCCTTCAAAACAAGTTGATATGGAACTGAGCATCATTCTTAAAATAGCTGGCTAGTGAAGATTTTTGTTTATAATGAAGAGGCATTAATTTGTATTTTATATGTGTGGCTGTTTTGCGTATGTGTATGTATGCATGATGTGTGTGAAATGCCTATGGAGTGGAGAAAGAGGATGTTGAATCCTTTGAAACCACCATGTACCCACATGGAAACCAAACCCTGTTTCCTGCAAGATCAACCAGTGTTCACAATCTTTATGGCCATCTCTTTTGCTCCCAGCTAAGATTTTCCTGGATGTGGACCTGAAAATATTATTAATAGAGTATTCATTGACCTTTGTAGATCTTAACCCTAAATGCTTAAAACAAACAAAAATACCTTGGTAACTTTGAAAATAATTCTATTGGCCTCAGCACTGATTAAAGACAAGAGATGCTGATATCTCACCATCATTCTAAATTTAGTAAATCTCAGTACATGGACTTTCATATTTCCCTTTCTACCTTGCCAGCTACAAAGCCCAATGAGAAGCAAAGGAAACCTTAAAAAGAATGCAAAGGGTTCCTATAGGAAAACTGGAAAGACCACAGAAGTATCAAGTACACCTAACACAAGGGACCAGAAGGAAGGGATTTCAGGGGACGTGTGACCTCAAGGGTCAGATGTCATATACAAGGTAATTTGTGCAACTTAAGGAGCAATGCTTCTTGTTACAGAGGGCCTTGTGCAAGATTTAAAGGAGCAAAACAAAACAAAACAAAAAACACACAAACAAACAACAAAAAAGAAGCAAAACTTGGTTTTCCAGAAGCATAAATTAAAATGGAGAAAACTTTAAATTGGAACAACTTCTGCTACCTGAGTAGTGTCACTGAAAAGGGAAGTGGGAAAGTTTGGCTCTGGTAGGACCAAAATCAAACTATAACATTCTTAACAACATACTCTTGTAAGGAAAAATCCAAAATTAATAGTGACAAACTACAAGTGAATGCAATTTAACATAAAATTCTCCCTCTCTCCCAACTAATTATCTTTTTTTAAATGCACCTAATTAAAATATCTTTTTTTAATGCACCTAATTAAAATCTCTTATCTTTCTCTATTCAACGGAAACTGTTTCTGGCTTTCGACAGTGGCAGCAGCCTTGGTGGATTGCTTATCTTGTTGTTATACTTTCATGGGGTGTATTTTTACCGTTGTTCTGTTTTCCATCTCGTTTACCTGGTGAGTATAAAAAAACATATTAATTAATTAATTAGAGTAAATTTTACCCTCAGCTCTCATTCTCAAAGCATAGATAAACTATGTTCCCTTATGAATATGCTTTTTCTACTGGTATTGCCCTGTGACAAAGAAATAGTGTCATAGTGTTGTTGTTACCCAATCAAGGTATATCACATCCAAATACTATATTTATGTACTACATTTTTGTTCATATATATATGTGTAGTTTATTATTTCTTAATAATCCCTTTTATTTAACATGCATAGATCTTTTAAAAAATGAACTATACTCAAATGTATTTACCAGTGTGTTCTTCAGATTCTTTAGAGTAACAGAACTTGCAGAACAAATCTCTCATTCTCTACACATACATGTACATACACATATATATCTACATATATATGTGTATATGATATTTATTAGAATGGCTTATAAGCTCTGGCCCAGCTAATCCAATAATGTCTGTCTATGAACAGGAGGTCAGTATTTGTTCAGTCTGTGAGGCTCAGTGTCTCAGCTGGTCTTCAAAATGTGCTAGAATCCCAAAGTATTAGGCTCTGATGCCAGGGAAGAAATGGACTTGCTATTGATGAGGATAAGAGCAAGTAGGAAAAGAGCAAGGGGTCTAGGGAGAAGTCTTAGCACTCAGTTCTTAAAGAAATGCAAATGGATTCTTTGTCAATAATCAAGTTCCTGTAGGTTTGTGGGTTTATTTCTGGGTCTCAATTCCATTTCAGGGCTCATCTGTCTGTTTCTACACCAATACCATGCAGCTTTTATTACTATTGCTCTGTAGTACAGCTTGAAATCAGAGATGGTGATACTTCCAGAAGTTCTTTCATTGTAAAAGATTGTTTTACATATCCTGTTTTGTTTTGTTTTGTTTTGTTTCCATATGAAGTTGAGAATTGTTCTTTCAAGGTCTGTAAAAAAGTACATTAGAAGAACCTGGAGGGTCAGGAGCTCCTCAAGACAAGCAACATGGCAAAGTAATCTAGGTCTGAAACACCAACAGAGGAGAATACAGGGACTGGACCCAGGCCCTCTACACAGATATAGCCGGTGGACAGCTTGGTCTTATGGGGTTCCCTAGGAAGTAGAGGCTGTCTCTGGCATGGACGCTGTTGACAGCTTTCCAATCAGTTCTTCCTGGCAGGGCTGCCTTGTCAGGCCAAAGGGGAAGAGGATGTGTTCAGTCCTGATGTGACTTAATGTGCCTGGGTGGGGGTGTGAGTGAGAGGTGCTCCCCTTTTCTGAGGAGTAGGGAAGGGATGATAGGGAGAAGGAGGAGTTAAGGTGGGGCCAGGAAGGGAGGAAGGAGGGAACTATGATGGGAGTGAGCTGTTAAGTTGTTGGCATTGGATCTCTGCAATTTCTTTTCTTTAATTTATTATTACTCTTATTATTATTACAGTTTATTCAATTTGTATCCCATCTGGGGCCCACTCCTTCATCTCTCAACCCGACCCTCCATCCTTCTTCTCTCCCTACGCCCCTCCTCTAGTCCACTGAAAGGGGCGGTCCTCCTTCCCTTCTATCTGAGCTATCTGAGCGTAGCCTCCTATCAGGTCTCATCAGGACTGGTTGCATTGTCTTCTGTAGCCTGGCAAGGCTGCATGAAGGCACTTACTGCTATGAAGTTTCCTCTTAGCATTGTTTTCATTGTGTCCCATAAGTTTGGGTATGTTGTGCCTTCATTTCCATTAAGTTTAGTAAGTCTTTAATTTTCTTTCTTATTTTATTCCTGACACAGTGGTAATTGAGTAGGGAATTGTTCAGTTTCCATGAGTATGTAGGGTTTTTTGTTATTTCTGTTGTTGAAGTACAGCTTTAAACTGTGGTGATCTGATACAATACAATAATTTAATTCAATTTTCTTGTATTGGTTGAGGCTTGCTTTGTGATCAAGTATATGATCAGTTTTGGAAAAATGTTCTGTGGAAGGCATATTCTTTTGTGTCTGGGTGAATGTTCTGTCGCTATCTATTAGGTCCATTTGATTCATGATATCTGTTTTGTTATTTCTGTTTAGTTTCTGTCATAACAATCTGTCAATTGATGAGAGTGGGTATTGAAGTCTCCCACTATTAATGTGCGCAGCTCAAAGTGTGACTTAAGCTTAATAATGTTTCTTTTACACATGTGGGTATGCTATTATTTGGAGCCTAAATGTTAAGAATTGACATGTCCTCTTGGTGGATTTTTTCTTTGAAAGAATGACATGTCCTTCCCCATCTCTTTTGATTAATTTTCATTGAAATTTTATTTTACTAGATATTACAATGTCTACTTTAGCTTCTTTAATAGGATAAAGGAGACATCCTATGCACAATGGAATTTTATTCTTCTATAAAGAAAAATAAATCCATGAAAAAACTAGAAATTCTTATGTTAAGTGAACCCTGTGAGACTCAGAAATTCAAACGTCAAATGTTATTTTTTTCCTCCATAAGCGAGATATGAATTTAAAAATATGTATGTATGTACACATGTTGCTGTGTCTAAATATGTGTGTGCATGGGGTTGGTTATTGGTGTGACAGACCTAGAAAGGTGTTCATTTGAGGGTCACAAGAGAGCTTCATGGAAGTTGGTTATACAGTAATGAAATGCACATAATGTGAAGCAGAACTTGAGACTCACAGGCTAGAGGAGTATGTGGAGGTGGGGGAAGATGATGACATATAGGAGAGCAAAAGGTAAAAGGAACAAATAAGAACAGAGTGTGATGATATATATGCATGAAAATACAGTTATGAAATCAGTTCCATCGCCGAAATGTTTAAAATGTGTTTAACAATTTTTGCAATCACAGAAATGATAATTGAAACTCTTTTAAGATTCCATCTCTATCCATCCAGAATAGCTGTCATCAGGGACATCTCAACTAGACACTGTTCAAGAAAAGTGAAATCTACATTACTCTACTTGCACTATTCACAACATCCATGATATAAAAACAGCTTAGAAACCTATCAACAGATTACTGGATGAAGAAAATATGTTGCCCAGCACAATTCATTCAGATGTAAAGACTAATTATAATTATAACACTTGAAGCTGACATGGCGTGTGCATGTAAGAAATTAAGAAAGAAAAGGAGCTATGTGAGAAGAAAAGATAAAGGGGCTGAGGGAAGGTAGTGAGTAAATGTAAGTCAAGAAAAGATGTAACGATATATGTATAAGAATAGGGTAGCCATCTACAGACTTAAGGAAGCTAAACACTGAGGAGGACCCTAGGGAGGATGCTTAAGTCTCATTCAGAATGGCAAACAGGATAGACACCAGAACTGATGGAAGAGAGGAAACAGGATGGGAGCCCACTATAGAGAGTCCTCTGAAAGGCTCCACCCAACATGGAATCAAAGCAGATACTGAGAGTCACAGCCAAACTTTGGGCAGAGAACAGGGAGTTTTATTGGAAGAGGTGGGTGGTGTTAGAGGGACATGGAGGGGACAGGAGCCCCAAAAGGAGACCAATAAAGCTAAAGGATCTGAGCCCAGGAGGTCCTGCAAACACTGATGCACCAATGGAGGACCATGCATGGAAAGGATACAGATGCCCTGCTCAGATGTGGCTATTGGCAGCTCAGTCTCCATGTGGATCTCTGAGGGAGGGGAGCAGGGGCTGCCTATATCATGAACTTGGTTGCCTGCTCTTTAATCATCCACCCCCTGGTGATGCAGGTTTGCCAGCCACAGAGGAAGATGATCTAGGCAGTCCTGATGAGACTTGATAACTATGGGCAGATGGCAGAGGAAGAGAACTCCCCTTTTTAGTGGATTATGAGAAGGGGAGAAAGGAGAAGAAGGAGGAAGGTTGGGACCAGGGGTAGCTGAAGGAAGGGGCTCCAATTAGGATACATAATGAATAAATTGTGAAAAAAAATAAAATAATTAATAAAAATAAATTTTAAAAAGGAATGAAAATATTATAATTATATTTATTAGTATTACATTGTCACATTATTATTCTTACTTAATATTGTTTATAATTATTATTATTACTTATTATTATTTTAAAAGTTCTAACTTGTTAATGCTGTTTATTACCTCAAAATACATTGTGAAACATAAAAGTGTTTTTTTGGGGATGGATTATTTTAGGGCTATGTCATCAAATATTTTTTATTGAACATGCTATTGAATTCAACATTAAATTAAGAATTAATTCAGCCATAGGAACCAGAATTCAGCAGTTAAGAGACATACAGAGTGGTGGACTTAAGAACTGGGTACTGTAGACATGAGAAATTTTCATTATCAAAAAATTGTCTTTTGCAAAGCACTACTGTGGAAGAATTTGCATTCTAAAATACACATTGGTTTTGGTGTGTTTAAAATAACTCGTTTACCTTTCCATGACAAGTAGGGATTATTATATGTGTGATGTATATTTCAGTGTATGATGTATATTTTCTTACTGACCAGGAGCTAGCAAAAGTTCATTTTTCTTGTGATCTACAGGTTCACAAGTGCTAAGACTTGAGAAAGAAAATGAACCTCCTACCTTTGACAAGAGGCTTAAAGATAAGGAAATTGGAACTAATTTGAAGGATATACATAATACTATTCAGGTAAAACAAGATACTTTTTTTTGATAACAAGCAATTAAATTGGCCTGTTTAATTTCTTATGAAATTAAGAAAATGACAAAGTGTTTAATTTAAATTTGGGTAGAAGTCTGAGAGTCTCTTAGTTAAATTATGCACATTCCTTGTAATGGAAAGTAAGAGACTTCTTTTTTGTTTTTTTTTTATTAATTTTTATTTTTTATATTAATCACAAGTTATTTACTTTGTATCCCAGCCATAGCCCCCTTCCTCATTCCCTCCCAATCCCACCCTCCCTCCCTCATCTCCTCCCTGCCCTTTTCCAAGTCCACTGCTAAGGGAGGTCCTCCTCCCATTCCATCTGACCCTAGTTTATCAGGTATCTTCAGGACTGGCTGCAATGTCCTCCTCTGTGGCCTAGCAAGATTGCTCCTCCCTTGAGGTGGGGGTGGGGGAGGTAAAGGAACCAGTCATTGAGTTCATGTCAGAAATAGTTCCTGTTCCCCTTGCTAGGGAAACTCACTTGGATGCTGAGCTACCATGGGCTCAGCATCCCATATCCATACATGTTCATTGTTTGTAGAAACAGTCTCACAAAAGATCCGTGTGCCCTGATATATTTTGTCCTTGTGAAGCTCCTGTCCTCTCCCAGTCATATTAACTCCCTCTTTTATCGTATGACTCCCTGAACTCTGCAGAAAGTTTGGTTATGAGTCTCTACATCTGCTTTGATACACTGCTAGATAGAGTCTTTCAGAGGCCCTCTGCAGTAGGCTCCTGTCCTGTTATTTGTTTTCTCCTACTTCCCATGTTCATCCCATCTGCCTTCCTAAGTGAAGATTGATCATCTTACTCTGGGTCCCAATTATTGTTTATCTTTTTTAGGTGCATACATGTTCATATGTTTATCTTATATTATAGAGCTATATAATTGAGTACATACCATGTGTGTATTCATGTTCCTGGGATACCTCACTCAGGATGATCTTTTCTAGATCCCACCATTTTGCCTACAAATTTCATGATATCCTTGTTTTTAATTGCTCAGTAGTATTCTATTGTGTAAAAGTGCCACAGTTTCTGTATCCATTCCTCAACTGAAAGACATCTGGGTTGTTTCCAGGTTCTGGCTATTACAAATAAAGCTGCTGCAAACATGGTTGAGCAAATGTCCTTGCTGTGTACTTGAGCTTCTTTTGGATATATGCCTAGGAGTGGTAGAGCTGGATCTTGAGGAAGCACTGTTCTTAATTGTCTGAGAAAGTGCCAAATTGATTTTCAAGTGGTTATACAAGTTTAAATTCCCACCAACAATGGAGGAGGGTTCCCAAATTCTCCACAACCTCTCCAGCATGTGTTGTCACTTGAGTTTTGAAACTTTGCCATTCTGATAGGTGGAAGGTGAAAACTCAGGGTCGTTTTGATTTGCATCTCTCTGATGACTAAAAACATTGAGCATCTCTTTAGGTGTTTCTCTGTCATTCTCTGTTCCTCTACAGAGAGTTCTCTGTTTAGCTCCATACCCCATTTTTTAATTGGATTGGTTGATTTATTTTTTTTTAACTACTGTAGTTCTTTATAGATTCTGGATATCAGCCCTCTGTCAGATATAGGGTTGGTGAAGATCCTTTCTCAGTCTGTAGGCTGTCATTTAGTTTTGATGACAATGTCTTTTGCTTTACAGAAGCTTTTCAGTTTCATAAGGTCAATTTATTGATTGTTGCTCTTAGAGCCCGTGCTGTTGGTGTTCTGTTCAGGAAGTTGTCTCCTGTGTCAATGAGGTCTAGGCTCTTCCCTACTTTTTTCTACTAACCAATTTAGTGTATCTTGTTTTATGTTGAGGTCTTTGATCTACTTGGACTTCAGTTTTGTGCAGGATGATAAATATGGATCTATTTTCATTTTTCTGCATGTAGACATCCAATTGGACCAGCACCATTTGTTGAAGATGCTGTTTTTTATCCATTGAATGGTTTTGGCTTCTTTGTCAAAATCAAGTATTCATTGGTTTTTGGGTTTATTTCTGGGTCTTCTATTCAGTTCCATTGATTGAACTTTCTGCTTCTATGGCAATACCATGCTGTTTTTATTATTTTACTATTTATTATTTTACCATTACTCTGTAGCACAGCTTGGGATCAGAGATGGAGATACCTCCAGATGATCTGTTGTTTTACAGGATTGTTTTGGAAATTCTGGGTTTTTTTGTTTCTCCATATGAAGTTCAGAATTATTCTTTCAAGGTCTGCAAGAATTGTATTGGTATTTTGATGGGAATTGCATTGAATCTGTAGTCTGCTTTTGGCAGGATGGCCATTTTTACTACGTTAATCCTACCAATCCATAGGCATGAGAGATCTTTCCAACTTCTGATATCTTCTTCAATTTCTTTCTTCAGAGACTTGAAGTTTTTTTTTTTTTTTCAAACAGGTCTTTCACTTGCTTGGTTAAAGTCACTTCAAGATACTTTATATTATTAATGGCTATTGTGAAGGGTGTCATTTCCCTGATTTCTTTCTCAGCCCTTTTGTCTTGGGTAGACAGGAGGGATTCTGATTTTTTTTTTTTTTAGTTAATTTTATATCCAGCCATTTGCTGAAGGTGTTTATCAGCTGAAGGAGCTCTCTGGTTGAATTTTTTGGGTCACTCATGTATACTATCATATCATCTGCAAATAGTGAAACATTGACCTCTTCCTTTCCGATTTATATCCCCTTGATCTCCTTTACTTGTCTTATTGCTCTAGCTAGGACTTCAAGTGCTATGTTGAATAAATATGGAGAGAGTGGGCAGCCTTGTCTTATCCCTGATTCCAGTGGGATTGATTTAAATTTCTCTCCATTGAGTTTGATGTTGGCTATAGGCTTTCTGTATATTGCCTTTACTATGTTTAAGTATGTGTTTTGTATTCCTGATCTCTCCAAGACTTTAAACATGAATGGATATTGGACTTTGTCAAATGCTTTTTTGGCATCTAAGGAGATGATCATGTTTGTTTATATGGTGGATTACATTGATGGATTTCTGTATATTGAACCATCCTTGGATGCCTGGGATGAAGCCTACTTGGTCATGGTGAATAATATCTTTTATGTGTTCTTGGATTTGGTTTGCAAGTATTTTATTGAATATTTTTGCATCAATGTTCATGAGAGAGATAGGTCAGAAGTTCTCTTTTTTTGTTGGGTCTTTGTGTGGTTTAGTTATCAAGGTGACTGTGGCTTCATAGAATGAGTTTGGTAAATTTCCTTCTGTTTCTGTTTTGTGGAATAGTTTGAAGAGAATTGGAGTTAGCATTTCATTGAAAGTCTGGTAGAATTCTGCGCTGAATCCATCTGGCTCAGGACTTTTTTTTGGAAGGGAGAGTGTTGATGATTGTGTCAATTTTCTTCAGGGATATAGGGCTATTCAAACTTTCTACCTGATCTTGACTTAATTTTTATAGATGGAGTCTATCAAGAAAATTGTCCATTTCTTTTAGATTTTCAAATTTTGTGGCACATATGCTTTTGTAGTACAACCTAATGATTGTTTGGATTTCCTCAGTGTCTGTAGTTATGTCCCCTTTTTTCCTTTCTGATTTTGCTGATTTGGATAGTTTCTCTCTGACTTTTAGTTAGTTTGGGTGAGGGTTTGTCTATCTTGTTGATTTTCTTAAAGAATCAGCTCTTGGTTTCATTTATTCTTTGAATAGTTTTATTTGTTTCTAATTGATTGATTTCAGCCCTAATTTTGATTATTTCCAGCCATCTGTTCCTCTTCGATGTATTTGCTTCTTTTTTTTCTAAGGCTTTCAGTTGGGCCATTAAGTTGCTTGTATGAGATGTTACAAATTTCTTCTTGTAGGAACTTAGTGCTATGAATTTTCTTCTGAGCACTGCTTTCATTATGTCGCCTAAATTTAGGTATGGTGTATCTTCATTTTCATTGAATTCTAGGAAGTCTTCAATTTCTTTCTTTATTTCTTCCTTAACCCAGCTGTCATTGAGCAGCAGTTTGTTCAGTTTCCATGTGTTTGTAGGCTTTATGTTATTTCTATTGTTGTTGAAGTCCAGCTTTAGACCATGGTGGTCATATAGAATACAGGGAATTATTTCAATCTTCTTGTATCTGTTGAGGCTTGCTTTGTGACCAACTATTTGGTCTATTTTGGAGAAGGTTCCATGAGGTGTTAGAAAGAAGGTATACTCTTTTGAGTTTGGGTGAGAAGTTCTGTAGACATCTATTAGGTCCTTTTGAATTAGGGCCTCTGTAACCACCTTTATTTCCCTATTTGGTTTCTGTCTAGATGATCTGTCCCTTGGAGAGAGTGGTGTGTTAAAGTCTTCCACTATTAAGGTGTTGGGATTGATGTGTGATTTAAGCTTTAATAATGTTTCCTTTACAAATGTAGGTGCTCTTGTTTTGGGGGCATAGATGTTCAGAATTGTGATGTCCTGTTGGCGGATTTTTCCTTTGATGAGGATGTAGTGCCCCTCCTCATCTTTTTTGATTAATTTTGGTTGAAAATCTATTTTATTAGATATTAGGTTTGCTACCCCAGCTTGTTTTCTGGGTCCATTTGCTTGAAAAACATTTTTCCATCCCTTTACTCTGAGGCAGTGTTTATCTCTGTTGCAAAGGTGCGTTTTTTTGGATGTAGCAGAATGTTGAATCCTGTTTCTGCACCCATTCTGTTAGTCTGTGTCTTTTTATTGGAGAGTTGAGTCCATTGAAGTTGATAGTTGATAGTGACCAATGAATGCCGGTTCCTTTTATTGTGCAGTTGGTGGTCTCACTGTGTTTCATTGCTTGTTTTCTTTTAATTTTTATTGGGACATTATTTGTATCCTATGTTTTCTTGGGTATAGTTGTCTTCATTGGATTGGAGTTTTACTTCTAGTATCTTCTGTAGGGCTGGGTTGCTGTTTAGAAATTGCTTAAATTTAATTTTATCATGGAATATTTTCTTTTCTGCATCTATGTTGCTTGAAAGCTTTGTTGGGAATAGTAGTCTGGATTGACACTGTGGTCCCTTAAAGTCTGCATGAAATCTGACCAGGCCCTTCTGGCTTTCATAGTTTCTGATGAGAAGTCCCATTGTGATTCTGATAGGTCTACCTTTATATGTTACTTGCCCTTTTCCCCTTGCTACTTTTAATATCTTTTCTTTGTTCTGTATATTTAATGTTTTGACAATGATATGATGTGAGGATTTTCTTTTCTGGTCTAGTCTGTTTGGTGTTCTATAGGCCTCTTGTATGTTTATGTACATCTCTTTTTTTAAGTTGGGAAAATTTTCTTCTATGAATTTCTTGAAGATATTTTCTGGATCTTGGAGACTGGAGTCTTCTTTTTCATCAATTCCTATTATTCTTAGATTTCACCTTTTCATGGTGTCTTTGATTTCTTGGATGTTTTGTGTTTGGGACTTTTCTGATTTTGTTTTTTTCTTTGAGAGAAGTATCAATTTCTGCAAGCGTATCTTCAGCTCCAGAGATTCTCTCTTCCATTTCTTTTATTCTGTTGGTGATGCTTACTTTTGTGGGTCATGATCTTTTCTTTAAGTTCTCCAGCTCCAGGGTTTTCTCATTTTGTGTTTTCTTTATTGATTCTAATTCTATTTTTATGTCTTGTACCATTTTCTTCATCTGTTTGAATGTGGCTTCCTGTCTCTGTATGATGGCCTCTATTTTTTTTGTTTGTTTCTTCTCTATATGCCACTAATTTTACCTCTACTTGTCCTATTTGCGTGGCTATTTCTCTGAGAGATTTGTTTGTTTCCTCTTTATGTGACTCTAATAATTGGATAAGCAATCTTTAAGGTTATTTTCCTGTGTTTCGTTTCTGAAGAATTGGGGTATTCATTTATTTGGGGTTTGCTGGTGAGGCCATGATTTCCTGAATTTTGTTGGGTGTGTTCTTTCGCTGACCTCTAGTCATTTCTTTATCTGTAGCCTTCACTGTTCATTCTTGGATTCTGCAGTTCAGATTGATACCATCTTTCTCTGGTTTCTGTAGAATTATTCAGGGAGATGAGAGAGGTCCAATGGTTTCAGCGTGTACATTGGTGCTTCCCACCTGCGGAGGGAAGTCCGCAGGTGCAGAGGGACAGATGCAGTCAAGGGTGTATGAGTGCATGTGTGTGGAAGTTTGCCTTGAGGGACAGGGTGTTACAGAATTTAGAGGCCTTCAGTTGAGGGAGGGGCATCTTGAGGTCACCTGAAGGGGTCACAGGCACTGAAGTTATCACATGCACTGGTTTGATTGCGTGCACAAATTTCCTGGGTTTGTCAGTGGCCTACAGGTTACTGGTATTTTCCCTAACTGAGCTCCAGGAATTATTTGCCTAAATTCCTCTGGTGGTGCTAGAGAGCCAAGGTCTCCATGTCTCAGGATACCCTCTGTTTCCCACAGTGGATGGGTGGGTAGGAGGTTTCTGATGTCTGGCTGCTAGCTTGGAAGCGTGGGGCTCTGCTGGCGCTAGGGGGCACACTCACCCTCTAGCAGTTCAAATCATAAAGCACAGGGGTTCCTCCTGTTCTCTGAGCCAAATGTGCCCTCAGACAGCTCAGTGGTGTTGTAGCCCCGGTACCCAGGAGTCCAGCTGCGGGTGCAGAACTGGGGTGTATAGTTGCCTGTCAGGAAGTCCTGTGGTGCCAGTTCCCTGGCTGGGTACTTGGTGCACATGGGTGTTTTTGTAGGTCTGCTGCACTGCCCGCTGTCCACTACTGAGGGACTAAGCGGCCCCATGCAGTACAGTCAGACTCTGAGGAGTCAATAGAGCTGGCCACTCTTGGGCGTGGGACCCAGGTAAGCTCTTACCATGGATCTGGGGTTCAGCAAGTGGGTTAGGCTGGCCGCCGAGGGTGTGGTGCTAGTGTTCCTGCCTCTGCTGTCTCGGTTCTCAGGCAGCAAGATCTGCATCACTGGTGCTGTAGCTTGGCTACTTTGAGGTGGAGAGAGGCCCAAGGAAGGAAAGCCCCTTTCCGTTCACAGAGAAGTCCATGTCTGACCTGAATCAAAGAGTTCTCCACTTCTTTGCTGTCCCCCTTCCTTCAGGAAGCCACAAAGTCAATTTCCGGCTTCAGCTGTCCATTCACTCACCAGTTTCAGAGTTATGAATCTTCTGGCCCTCAGAAATGATGCCTGCTGATGGCCGCCATCTTGAGGTCGATCTAATTTTTTTATTAATTACACTTTATTCACTTTGTATCTCCTCTGTAGCACTCTTCCCTCCTAATCCTTCCCTTTCTCCCCCTTCTCCACATATGTCCCTCCCAAAGTCCACTGATAGGGGAGGTCTTCTTTTCCTTCCTTCTGATCATAGTCTGTCAGGTCTCATCAGGACTGGCTGCATTGTCTTCCTCTGTGGCCTGGTAAGGCTGCTCCCCGCTTAGGGAGAAGTGATCAAAGAGCAGGCCAATCAGTTCATGTCAGAGACAGTACCTCTTCCCATTACTATGGAACCCACTTGGACTCTGAACTGCCATGGGCTACATCTGTGCAGGGGTTCTAAGTTATCTCCATGCATAGTCCTTGTTTGGAGTATCAGTCTCAGGAAAGTCCCTTGTGCTCAAATTTTTTGGTTCTGTTGTTCTCCTTGTGGAGTTCCTGTCTGCTCCAGATCTTACTGTTTCCCACTTCTTTCATAAGATTCCCTGCACTCTGCCCAAAGGTTGGCCATAAGTCTCAGTATCTGCTTTGATAGTCTGCACAGCAGTTGAGACCTGATAAGCTAGGGTCAGATGGAAGAGGAGGAGGAGGACCTCCCCTATTAGGGGGAAGGGCATGGGAGGAGAAGAGTAAGGGATGGTGGGATTGGGAGGGAATGAGGGAAGGGGCTACAGCTGGGATACAAGATGAATAAACTGTAATTAATAAAAAAATAAATTTAAAAATTTGGAAACCCCATATCTAAAATCATCTTAAAGGATACACAATTCTAAAGGTACTTTGTCACAGGAGATGAAGAGTACATGCATACGGGCTTTTATTGTAAACATGTTTGGGATATTAAGGATCTGAAAGTTACATAAATATTTAATCTTTTAGGAACCAATAAATACAGTAAAATTACAGGGTACAAAATTATATAGCATTCACCAGCTGAGTTAGGTAAATGTAAAATATGAGTTTATATTTTACCTCACTGAGAAATATTTTCAATGAGCTAACAGATCCATAGATAAAAGTTATATTTGCTGTAAAGCCAACCTAAAGTACAAGTCTTTATGGAATGTGTCTTAGGGAAGTATATAGTTTTGTTTTCTTAATCACATATATTCAGTTTAGACTATAGAAAGAGATAAATGGAATGAGAAAAAATAATTTTGATTTGATCTATTCTATTTCAGTTGCTGTTGAAGAACACACTGCTGATGACCCAGATATTCTGCAAAGCCGTGGAGTTTATAACCTCTGAGGAATCTTCATTATTTGTTCCCGTATATTTAGAAAGCCAGTTTATGTTAACACCCTCACTTGCCACTGTGCTTACAGGTAGATATTTCTTCCTATTGGGCTGACTTCAATTCTTTTCACAACGTCCATATTTAAGTGATATATACATATGTGCATGTATATATATAATATATATATATATTTAAGTAATATGTCATGTAAGCAGAAGACAGAGGGTGCTGTGTACTTGAGTGCTACATTACTTAAAACTATAAAAACAGGAATACATAAAACTTAACAATGCTATTTACACAGCTCTCTATCTTTCTGCCTCCCCGTGTACATACCTGCCCATTTTCTTTTCCCTCCCCTTTAGGAAACAACTATTTTCCAGCCACAAAACTCCTTTCTTTCTGCTCGTGTGTCTGTACTCAATATTTTTCTAAAATATTCACATTTCCTACCAGTTCTTCTGTCTCTTTCACCAGAAAACATATTTTTTTCAGATTCACATCGATTTGAACTTAATACATTGTAATTATGCTGTTGTATTCCTTTTTTATTTAACTGGCAGAGACATGCTGCTGTTTACATGCATGCAATTGTTTATTCATTATTATATTAATAGACAAAAAAATAAATTTAATCTTAATTTGCCTAAACAATGTCATAATGCATAAGCTCACAATATCCCTTCATGCATATTTGTAAAAGTTTTTCTATTTTGACACTAAACAGCAACTGCTATTGTTTATATTTTATATGATTATTATTATTTTTTTTTTACTATTTATTCCTTCTGTATCCCAGTTGTAGCCTCCCTCCCTCATATCCTCCCAATCCCACCCTTCTTCCCTCTTCCTTCCCTATACTTCTCCCCTCATTCACTGATAGTGGAGGTCCTCCTCCCCTACTGTCTGACCTTAGCTTATCAGGTCCCATCAGTACTGCCTGGATCCTTTTCCAGTGTGGGCTGGCTAGGTCGCCCCACCAGGGAGAAGAGATCAATGAACAAACAACTGAGTTCATGTCAGACTTTCTCTTCTCCCCATACTAGTGAACCTACATGGAGACTGTGCTGTGTGCGGGCTACATCTGGGCAGGGGTCTATGTCTTCTTTATGCATGGTCTTTGGTTGATGCATCAGTCTTTGCAGTTCCCTCTGATCACAGCCAAACTATTGTATACATTTTCAATCTTAAAATTCTATTGAGATTTTGACTCTTTAAGAGATATTGTAAATGGAAGTATTAAAGGGTTCTAGAATTAATTGAAAAGTGATTAACATAATAGTTCATTTTATGGTACAAAGAGGTAAGCAGGCATGTTATAGCACTTAATGTAACTGGTGAAAGAATAGTAAAATGAGTATTTAATCTTCAAATACAAGGCTGGAAAAATAAAACAGAATGAATATAATGTATGTGAGAGAAAAAAAAACAACCAAAAACCAAAACCCAAATGTTAGTGCAGCAGCCTTGATCATAAGCAGATTACTGAGTAGATTTGTTTTCATCATTAGGTTTTTCCGTGTATTTATATATTGGTCTCATGTGTTTGAGTACTTGGCCCTAAGGAGTGGCACTATTAGGAGGTAAGGCCTTGTTAGAGTATGTGTGGCCTTCTTGAAGGAGGTGTTTTACTAGGGGCATGCATTGAGGTCTCAGAATCTCAAGCTAGCCCTAGTTTTAGTTTGACTTCCTCTGCCTGCTGACCTAGCTGTAGCACTCTCAGCTCCTTTATTATCACCATGTCTGTCTGCTTGCCAGGATGTTTCCTTTTGTGATGATAAAGTAATAATATCCCTCTGAAACTGTAAGCCAGCTCCAGCTAAATGTTTTCTTTTAAAAGAAATGGTGTGGTCATGGTGTCTCTTCACAACACTAGAAATCCTAATGGAGACACACTCATACTGTTCCTCTGTTATATACTGCTACTTTTCATAATGTTTTTTTCTTATTGAGGTTTCTACATGATTTCACCTAAACAACTCTTTACTTTTATATGGTGGCCTTCATGATATGTTGAGTTCTTCTTAAGGTTGTATCTATTTTCAAAATTACTCTTTAATATAATGTCTTTATGAGTTTTTTTGTGATGACAGTTTGGCAACAGAGCTTACCATGTCAAAATCAGAGTAAATCAACATTTCTGCAAGTCTTCTGGTACTTCTAACAGATGTGTAGGCATTTTAAGTTGTGGTATGCCTACTCAATGGTGACTCCCACAAGAGTGATAGCACTGTTCGAAATTATGGACCTCTAAAACCATTGTTGATAGTGACTGTTACTGGAAAGTGATTTTTACATTGGTTGCTGCATTCATGTTGCAAGGTCTATGGAGTGCTTAAAGGAATATTATCATAAAGATTAACAATTAGAATCATAGCTTTTACTGTGTGAAATTTTATCACCAGACTCATCAGTCACATGCAGCTTTGACTACTGTAGAATATTGTTTCTCGCTTTTTTGATACTGTGTGTATATTTGCCCTGAAACTAACTTCAGCCATGCCTCCCCAACTGTACTGGTGAATAGGTGGGATTGTATGTCTCTCTCATTTCATTAAGTAGAAATGTCCACTAAGTTCAAGCAACACTGTGTTATGGCTGGAACTAAATTAATTCTCCAGAAAATACAGCTGTGGGGAACAAAAGTCCATTATACACCAGGCTCTAGGGTTGATCCCTATTCTTGTGGGATGGATGGCAGAGAAAGAAAGAAAAATAATTTTTGAAATAATAAAAATAGCTAAGTAAAAAGGAAATTGAAAGGCTGGATCTGTCACTCAATGAAAGAAAACTTGTCTAGGATATGACAGAACCAAAAAATCTGATCACAGGGGTCTTTCCTGAGACTCATACTCCAACCAAGGACCATGCATGGAGATAACTTAGAACCCCTGCACAGATGTAGCCCATGGCAGTTCAGTGTCCAAGTGGGTTCCGTAGAAATGGGAACAGGGACTGTCTCTGACATGAACTGATTGGCCTGCTCTTTGATCACTTCTCCCTAAGCTGGGAGCAGACTTACCAGGCCACAGAGGAAAACAATGCGGCCACTCCTGATGAGACCTCATAGAATAGGATCAGAAGGAAGGAAAAGAAGACCTCCTCTATCAGTGGACTTGGGGAGGGACATATTTGGAGAAAGGGGAGAAAGGGAGTGATTGGGAGGGGGGAGAGGAGGGTGCTACAGAGGAGATACAAAGTGAATAAAGTGTAGTGAATAAAAATTAATAAAAATGAAAAATAGAGATGAACAGAAGGAAAATGAAAAGCATGAAAAGAAAAAGAGAAAAACTTAATTAAAATGAAGATGAAAGTAAGAAAAATAACAAGAAATGAAAATGCAATGTTAAAATGTAAACAAATGGAGGGAAAGGTAAGTGAAAACACTTTCCCTACTAAGATCTCTCTGGGTCTTCTAGAATTAAAAATTTACAGTGAATAGGGTAAGAATAGTAGAAGTGTTTTCAGATTACTCTATTTCTTCTCAGTTGTCACCAAACCAGTGGGGGCAGAACCAGGCTGTGCCCAACATCTAACAAACACAGTGGCTGTTGACTGTACTGGGATGTGTACTCTGTGGAGTTGTTAAGCCTACGGTGCTCTGCACATCGATACTGACAACAGAGAAGTGAGCCTGTCTTGCCACATGAGCATAGGACTTTAGTCTACTTTAGGCTTATATTCACCTAAAAAGTTTTCTTCTATACAATGGCTATATAGATAGTATTGAGGCTACAGCAATCTCTTCACACTGAAAATTAAATTTGAGCAGACTATGGACCATGCTGAACCATTGGCTCTGAAGACTTTGGTCTTGCTCCCTGGGCATAAGGAATATCCAAGATGTGGAGAATCCCTGGAATATCTCACACTATGTGAGCATACACTTGTCATATGTTGTATCAGAGACACTCACCTAAGGTAGAACTGCCTCACTTCCTGGGGTTGCTGCTTATACAGCTGATTCACTGAGGAGTCCATGAGAAGGCTGAGATTCTTTGGCAAAGTTTGAGACTATGCCAGCATTTCCAATCTCAAAATGGCTGAGTCTCTGGCAACAGAAGACTCAGGTAGTGCTATAACTGAATTTTCACTGAGCTTCCTATTAATTTCTTTTCTGAAGCTAGCTTGCTTTCAGACTCCAGGCCTAATATTTACTTCAGCTTCTTCTCTGCATAATGTAGCCTTTTTTTCCCACCACGTCTTGGCTTCTGCTGCCATTTTACTGCCCAGTAGCAGGAAATCTACTTTCCTATTAAAGTTTTATATTTCAGGAGTCAAGATATTTGCTCACTTTGCTTTGTTATTCTTCCTGTCCATGGAAGGTGCCAGATTTTTTTTCTGTGTAGAGTATTTCCAGTTCTCATCCACTCATCCATCCACAACAAGTTTCAAGTCTATTATTTTGTTTCCATTTTATAGAATGGAATTATTGCTGAGTGTCCCTATAGCACTACCTTGGACCTGAACTTGAAATTTTATTTTTTCAATTATGTGTTTCATTATCTACTTTTTTTTTTAAACATCACCTTTATTTCTCTTCTTTTCTTTCACTTTTTTCATTTTTATGGAACATTTTATTTGTATGTGTTTATTATGGCCTGATTTAATCTTGAGTTTGTATTGTCATTGGTATTTTGTTCTCTATCCATTACATTAACACATAGTGGTCTATATTTGGAGTTGCTTGAATTGAATTAATGTGTATGTTTATTGTGCTATATTGAGCTTTCTATTTTCCTATTGCTCCTCTTTTACTTTTTTCCAGCTCATATTATTCTTGTAATTTCCTTTTTCTAATTTATGGTTAAGTATAAAAACCATACATTATAATGGGCACTCTTTTGTTTTGTTTTAAAAATGTTCATGTTGACTTTCTATAAGAGATCTCAGTGAATTGGCCCATCCAATCTTTTTCACAGGATGGTTTGAGGAATCCTGTTATTTCAATTAATTTTCTTAAAATAGGCCATACATTCAGTTGGGTTCAAGAATAGCCACAAACTGACCACTAGAATGCCAGACTCAGACTGATGGAAGTTGGTTGAACATTGAACAAAAACAAAAAATAATCTGGGTTTGGGAGCCAGACTATGATGCCGGTCTGTTTCTAAGGCAGGCTTTTTATATATATATATATATATATATATATATATATATATATATAAAAAAGTGATAAGGTAAGAACCAGTAACCAGGTATAGAAAGCAGGGGAGGCATCACTTTGACCAGCTAAACATAATCAATTTTATTCCAAGTGTATTGTAGTATATTTAGGTAGCTAGACAAAGGACTTTAAGCTGATTATCTGGGACTTAGGGTAGAGGAGTTCTTGGGGACTTTGCAACTTTCTGGGAGTAAGGAACATAGCAGGATGCTGTGATCTTTAACTCAAGCAAAACATACATTTATCAAGTATTGTTTCATTCTAAGAAGCAAGTACTGAATTATTGAATTGTATATCCTGCTCCCAGGCATGCAGAGCCTGAGAACTTGAACTTAATTTCACCTTACAATCAAAATAGAGACTTGGAGGTAAAAATGGCTTCTGATAGGTATTAGGTGACAGCAGTTATTAATAGAGGCCTCACAGTTATGCTAAGAAATAAAGTAGGTCTCAATCAAGGGGCTATAGAGTTTAAGCAGGTTACAACAATAGTATCTCCCAATAAGACAATTCCTAATTTCTAAGTGTCATGAACTATGTTTCTGGGTTGTATTATATACTCAGTATATAGGAGTAAAACATTACCCTCACAACCAGAATCCAGTAGACATATAATGGCTCCATCCTCATGCCCAAAATGTATATTGTAATGTCCAGATTTATTCAAATTTAAAATCTGCTAGGATAGATTGTTTGATTAAAATCTGTACTTGAGTAGAAGGAATGACATCTCTATGTAATTTTTTCTGTACTACCAAGAGTTACTTTTAACCGTGTTTTATTTTTTCTTTTCTCAGGACTTATTATTCTCCCAGGAACTGCAGTTGCTCATTTCATGGGAGGTCTAATTGTTGACAGATTGGACATGAATTATAAGACCAAAGTAAACTTTACAGCCGTGACAACTGTTCTAGCAACTGTGTTTTTTACATTAATCTTTTTTGTAGAGTGTGAAACAGTGAAAGCTGCTGGAATCAATGAGGATTATGATGGGTAAATATAAGGTTTTTGTTTGTTTTTCTCATTCATATGCAAATTTTATTTATCCTTTTTATTTTAATTTTATTTTTAATTATACTTTATTTACTTTCAATAACCCCTCTAGTTCCCTCCCTCCTCTCCTCCCAATCCCTCACTTCCTCCCACTTCTCCACATATGCCCCTCCCAAAGTTCACTGATAGGGGAGGATTTCTTTTTCTTCCTTCTGATCCTAGTCTGTTAGGTCTCATCAAGAGTGGCTGCATTGTCTTCCTCTGTGGCCTGGTAAGGCTGCTCGCCCCTCAGGGGGGGTGATCAAAGACCAGGCCAATCATTTCATGTCAGAGGCAGTCCCTGTTTGCATTAGTATGGAACTCACTTGGACACTGAACTGCCATGGGCTACATCTGTGCAGGGGTTATAGGTTATCTCCATGCATGGTCCTTGGTTGGAGTATGAGTCTCAGGAAAGAGCCCTGTGCTCAAAATTTTTGGTTCTGTTGTTCTCCTTGTGGATTTCCTGTCCTCTCCAGATCTTACTATTTCTTACTTCTTTCATAAGATTCCCTGTATTCTGCCCAAAGTTGGGCCATAAGTCCAAACATCTGCTTTGATAGTCTGCAGGGCAGAGCCTTTCAGAGGCCCTCTGTGGGAGGCTCCTAACTTGTTTTCTGTTTTCTTCTTCTTCTGATGTCCATCCTCTTTGCCTTTTGGGATGGGGATTGAGCATTTTAGCCACAGTCCTTTCTCTACATTAGTTTCTTTAGGTGTAGAGATTTTCTTAGGTTTATCCTATATTATATGTCTATATGACTGATTATATACTGTGTGTGTCTTTCTGCTTCTGGGATAGCTCACTCAGGATGATCCTTTCCAGTTCTCACCATTTACCTGCAAATTTCATGATCTCCTTGTTTTTCATTGCTGAGTAATATTCCATTGTGTAGATGTACCACAATTTCTGCATCCATTCTTCATTTGAGGGGCATCTGGGTTGTTTACAGATTCTGGCTATTACAAATAAGGCTGCTACAAAAGACCTTATTGAGTACTTGAGCCTCTTGTGGATATATGCCTAGAAGTGGTATGGCTGGATCTTGAGGAAGCACTATTCCTAGTTGTCAAAGTAAGCGCCAGATTGATTTCCAGAGTGGTTGTACAAGTTTACATTCTCATCAGCAGTGGAGGAGTGTTCTCCTTTCTCCACAACCTCTCTAGCATGTGTTGTCACTTGAGTTTTTGATCCTGGCCATTGTGATGGATGTAAGGTGAAATCTCAGGGTACTTTTGATTTGCATTTCCCTGATGGCTAATGACTTTGAGCATTTCTTTAAGTATTTCTCTGCCATTCGATATTCCTCTGTCGAGAATTCTCTGTTTAGCTCTGTTCCCCATTTTTTAATTGGATTACTTGGTTTGCTGCTTTTCAGCTTCTTTAGTTCTTTATATATACTGGATATTAGCCCTCTGTCAGATAGAAGGTTGGTGATGATTCTTTCCCAATCTGTAGGCATTTGTTTTGTTTTTGATGATGGTGTTCTTTGCTTTACAGAAGATTGTCAGTTTCAGGAGGTTCCATTTATTGATTGTTGCTCTTAGAGTCTGTGCTGTTGGTGTTCTGTACAGGCATTGTCTCCTGTACCAATGAGGTCAAGGCTATTCCCCACTTTTTCTTCTAACAGGTTTAATGTGTCTGGTTTTATGTTGAGGTCTTTGATCCACTTGGAGATTAGTTTTGTGCAGGATGATAAGTATGGATCTATTTGCATTTTTCTACATGTAGATATCCAGTTACAACAGCACCATTTGTTAAAGATGCTACCTTTTTTTCCATTGTATGGTTTTGGCATCTTTGTCAAAGATCAGGTGTCCATAAGAATGCGGGTTTATTTCTGGGTCTTCTATTCCATTCCATTGATCCACCATTCTGTTTCTATGCCAGTACCATGCAGCTTTTATAATTGTTGCTCTATAGTACAGCTTGAGATCAGGGATGGAGACCTCCAGAAGATCTTTTATTGTAGAGAATTGTTTTAGCAGTTCTGGGTTTCTTGTTATTCCATATGAAGTTGAGAGTTTTTCTTTCCAGGTCTGTAAAGAATTGTGTTGGTAATTTGATGGGAATTGCATTGAATCTGTAGATTACTTTTGGTAAGATGGCCATTTTTACTACGTTAATCCTCCCAAGCCATGAGCATGGGAGATCTTTCCATCTTCTCATATCTTCTTCTAATTCTTTCTTCAAAGACTTGATTTTTTTTCATACAAGTCTTTGACTTGCTTGGTTAGGGTTACACCAAAGTACTTTCTGTCTTTTGTGGCTATTGTGAAGGGTGTTGTTTCCCAAATTTCTTTCTCAGCCCTTTTGTCTTTTGTATACAAGAGGGCTACTGATTTTTTTGAGTTAATTTTGTATCCTGCTACTTTGCTGAAGGTGTTTATCAACTGTAGGAGTTCCCTGGTAGAATTTTTGGGGTCAGTCAGGTATACTATTATATCATCTGCAAATAGGGATACTTTGACTTCTTCCTTTCTGATTTGTATCCCCTTGATCTCCTTCAATTGTCCTATTGCTCTAGCAAGGACTTCCAGACTATGTTGAAGAGATATGGAAAGAGTGGGCAGCCTTGCCTTGTCCATGATTTCAGTGGGATTGATTTAAGTTTCTCTCCGTTTAGTTTGATGTTGGCTATAGGCTTGCTCTATATTGTTTTTACTATGTTTAGATATGTGCCTTGTATCCTTGATCTCTCCAGTACTTTAAACATGAATGGATATTGGATTTTGTCAAATGCTTTTTCAGCATCTAAGGAGATTATCATGTGCTTTTTTTTCTTTTAGTTTGTCAATACGGTGGATCACATTGATGGATTTCCATATATTGAACCACCTGGGATGAAGCCTACTTAGTCATAGTGGATGCTATCTTTGATGTGTTCTTGGATTCGGTTTGCAAGTATTTTGTTGAGTATTTTTGCATCAATGTTCATAAGGGAGATTGGCCTGAAATTCTCTTTCTTTGTTGGTCTTTGTGAGGTTAGGTACCAAGGTGACTGTGGCTTCATAGAATGAGTTTGGTAGTGTTCCTTCTGTTTCTATTTTGTGGATAGTTTGAAGAGAATTGGAATTAGCTCTTCTTTGAAGGTCTGGTAGAATTCTGCGCGGAAACCATCTGGTCCTGGGCTTTTTTTGAACGGGAGACTTTTGATGACTGCTTCTATTTCCTTGGGGGATATAGGACTATTTAATTGATTTACTTGGTCTTGATTCAGCTTTGGTAATTAGCATTGATCCAGAAAATTGTCTATTTCATTTAGATTTTCAAGTTTTGTGGCATATAGACTGTTGAAGTAAGTCCTAATGATTGTTTGGATTTCCTCAGTGTCTGTTGTTATGTCCCTGTTTTCATTTCTGATTTTGTTGATTTAGATAGTGTCTCTTTGCCATTTAGATAGTTTGGCTAAGGGTTTTTCTATCTTTTTTATTTTCTCAATGAACCAGCTCTTGTTTTCACTGATTCTTTGATTTTTTTTTGTTTGTTTCTAGTTTATTGATTTCATTCCTGAGTCTGATTTTTCCAGACATCTACTCCTCTTTGGTGTGTCTCCTTTTTTTCTAGGGCTTTTAGGTAAGCCATTAAGTTGTTGGCATGAGATATTTTAAATTTCTTCTTGTAGACACTTAGTGCTATGAACTTTCCTCTGAGCACTGCTTTCATTGTGTCCCATAAGTCTGGGTATGTTGTGCCTTCATTTTCATTGAATTCTAGGAAGAGTTTGATTTCTTTATTTCTTCCCTGACTCAACTGTCATTGAGTAGCAAGTTGTTCAGTTTCCATGTATGTGTAGGCTTTTTGTTATTTCTCTTGTCATTGAGATCCAGCTTTTGTCCATGCTGGTCAGATAGGATACATGGGATTATTTCAATCTTTTTTTATATGTTGAGACTTGTTTTGTGACTAACTATATGGTCTATTTTTGGAGAAGGTTCCATGAGGTGCTGTGAAGAAGGTAAATTCTTTCGTGTTTAGGTGAAACGTTCTGTAGATGTCTGTTAGGTCCATTTGATTAGACTCTGTTAGAGTCATTGTTTCTTTGTTTAATTTCTGGTTTGTTGATCTGTCCTTTGTTGAGAGTGGGGTGTTGAAGACTCCCACTATTAATGTGTGGGGATCTATGTGTGGTTTCAGTTTTATTACTGTTTCTTTTACAAATGTGAGTGCTCTTGTGTTTGGGGCATAGATGTTCAGAATTGTGGTGTCTTCTTGGTGAAGTTTTGCTTTGATGAGTATGAAATGACCTTCCTTATCTCTCTTGATTAATTTTGGTTGAAAGTCTATTTTATTAGATATTAGAATGGCTATTCCTTCTTGCTTCTTGGGTCCATTTGCTTGGAAAACTGTCTTCCAGACCTTTACTCTCAGGTAATGTCTATCTTTGTGACTTACGTGTGTTTCTTGTATGCAGCAGATTGTTGGGTCTTGTTTATGCATCCATTCTGTTAGTCTTTGTCTTTTTATTTGAGAGTTGTGTCCATTGATGTTAAGAGAGATTAATGATCAGTGGCTGTTAGATGCTTTGATTTTTCTCTTGGCTATGGTAGTGTGATTGCATGCTTGAATACTTTTGGTTTTGCTGTAGTGAGGTTATTTGTTTCCTGTGTTTTCCTGAATGTAGTTAGGTTTCCTCGGTTCTATTTTTCTTTATAGTATCTTCTGTAATGCTGGATTTGTGGGTAAGTATTGTTTGAATTTTTTTGTTATTAGATATCTTGTTTTCTCCATCTATGATGACTGAGAGTTTTGCTGGATATATTAGCCTGGGCTGACATCTGTGTTCTCTTAGGATTTGCATTATATCAGTCCAGGCCCTTCTTGCTTTCATAGTCTCTGTTGCGAAGTCTGGTGTAATTCTAATGGGTTTGCCATTATGTTACTTGGCCTTTTTTCCTTGCAGCTTTCAGTATTTTTTCTTTGTTCTGTATACTTACTGTTTTGATTATTATGTGGTGGCTAAGTTT